AACATTGTTAGGATTTGGATTTGGGTCACATGAAATGGACACCCGAGTTTAGGAAGGTAAATTATTAAGATAACGCGCCTAAAGCAACTACGCGTTTGCAACTTTGTGAGGGCCATGGGAAATTCGCTAAATGGCGCGCCTCGATTTCTAAAAAAAGCAAACAAATTAATTAAACGAGGGCCGTGCATTTAAGATTTTGTTTGGCACGGCTCACCTCAGTTTTCAATTCTAAAGGGAATTCAAAGCTAAATCCTTGAGGGCCATAAATTATACAATTTGGCTAGTATGACACACCTCAAACTAATCTGAAAAGTTATACTTACTGAGGCCTAATGGCGTTTTGGTTCACAAATAGCTTGGATTTAAAGCTTCAAATGATGGACAACGGAATATAAAGCAGGCCTATGGTAATGTGGACAAAGTGCTAGGCCAATAATTGGCCCAATATATTATCAGGGGACAACGTTGGGATTGCATGGGCTTCAGAAACCGAACCCAACAGGCGCCCAAACCCAAAACACCCCAAAATACATATTTGAAATCAATTATGAAACAACCAACTGTCAATACATGGTTTCATGCAGATATGCTTTCGACAAACTGGACCTTATTTTGAACACTTGAAAGGTCATTAGGTCTCAATTGGGGCCCCAAACGAGAAATGAAGAGGTTCACATTACTTTCACAAGCCTTTCTTGTTTCAAACCACAACATGGAATACCACAAAGGAACATATTTCTGCGCATTCAACCATTACACAATATTCAAACCAAAATCAATTAACAACAAATCCACCATGGCTGTTATGATGCTAATCATATAGAGATTTATGAGTGCAATTGACTATGCAGCACTATATGAGTTCCATTGCTCTTTTCACCTTGATTTAGCTTTGTATCCAATCACAAATCTAACTACCCTTAGCCACCCAATAGAAATAGGCCTCGAGCCAAACTAAAGTGAAACAAATCATGTGAAAGAAATAGTAGCTAATCAGTAGAGGAGTAACCTTAAAATCCAAAATAGCTCAAATCCAAACTTCAAAGAGACGACAACAACTACTTCTATTACAATTTTCATGAAACTGATACACTAATGAATACTTGCCAAAGTGAATATAGTCTATCCACCCAGCTTTAATGCACAACAATAGAGTTACGAATTACTAATACCACATCAACAACAGACCTACTATTGGGCTTAGTATTTGCTGATTTGGCCCATTAGTGGCCAAATCCACAAACTGCAGCTAGCACTCAACAATAACAGCCTTCAATAATCCTCAAATAAGCATGACTTTGAGCAGAATCACTGACTCTACAGGAACAACATCATACAAGGCCTAACAGAGCTAATTATGAATCAGATTTTGGCACATAAAGCTGGTGAATCAAATAATGACAAACCTAGGACATTATATCTCTATTAATGAACAAGAAATCATCCAAACACGTGTGAAACCACTGAACTAAATTGAAGGTCCAAAATTATGAATACCAACATCATATCACATCTACTAACAGCTATAACATACTTAATTAAGGCTGATTTAGACAATGTAATCACATTAAATTAAAAGACAAATCAGAGTAGCGTTATGGATTCAACAAAATAAACTAATTTCTCTGCTTCAAATTCTTCATTTCATTTCATATCCAACTTCACAATCGATAGGGCCTAAGATGTGTACCTGAAAATTGAAATATAAACAAAAGGGTGAGGGATCGGCCAAGCAGCAACAACCAAGTTCCCAGATTCACACAACCAAATAGTGAAATTGACTCAGAAGGACCAATAGAACAGTAAACCAAACAGCAAATTTCAAACCAAGCCTTTGAAAACCAAACTCAACCCAGTTCAAGCCTCAGGTGAGTCGAAATTTGTTTCAGAAATTGAAAACTTCAAAATCACAGAAGAGAGTTCAATGAAATAGTGATTATTGTTGAAATTTTTCAGCCGTTTTGTTTTCTTTGGATTTTTTATCTCTTAGAGTCTCTTTGTTTCTTTTTCTCTTGATATGTTTTTTTCTGTTCTCTATTCTTCTTAGTTTAAATAGGCAGTAGAAAATGCCTCTTTGATTCATAAATGCCCCTTCAATAATTTTTTATTTGATTCTACCCAATTCAAGTTCTTTTCTTTATTCAGTAGTGCATTCTTAATCCTACCATTATAGAAACTTCCTAATTAGTTGGGAAAACACTCCAATCTAAACAATTCCTAGACTACCCTTAAACCCAATGTTATTTAATATCCCCTAAAGTTCTGAATACTTACAAACATACAAACAGAAAAAATGAGCTAATACCTTCAGATAGATTGAAAACAAATGAACTTCGAAATTAAGAATGCATCTAACAACTAGTGAATCATATTAATTCATGAAGAATTAGTCTGCTATAAGAACTCTAAATGGAACTTTCAGAAATGCTAGAAAACTAATAACTTCCAGAACATACTCGAATAAACCTCGACCAATTCAATTGAACCTTGAATTAAACCTAGACCCTTCTCATATGGATATAAATTCAGAAAATGCTATTGAAACAAGAATTAATGCAGATGAGGAACTACCAGACTTGTGAACGGAAGAACTACTTAGAAGAATACTGAAGAAAGAAAACAAGAAGGAAAGAAGAAGAGTAAAAGGTGAAACAAATTTATAAATGAACAGAAAACAATAAAAGGAACTCACCGGCTAAACTTGAAATTACCCTTGATACTCTGACTCACCCGAAACTGTTGCTAATCATTTGTTCTTTGTCAAGAACAAATGAACAACATCGGTTTTGTAGTGAATCGACCTTCTAACCATGAAAAACTAGAGGCTTGGATCGATGCATGTCATCAGGTTCAACGGAAATTGATTTTGAACTTTTAGGGTTCGAACTTAGATTTAAAATTCAACGAGTTCCGGTCAGATTCGAAGGAAACCAATGATGGATTTGGTATGAGGGAGTTATGGGGGTTATGTGATGTTAATTTGGGTTCGATTGGGTAAGCTAGGGTTCAGGGATTTTGGGACCGGACTGCTTCGATTGAAGATTCGAGAAGTCCTAGGGTGATTCGAGGGAAACTAGCTACANAATCCAACGACTGTGATTAAACCCCAATGAAACGAGGTCGTTTGGCTTCAGGCGAGGCTGGACCGAGTATGGGGAAGACGGGTCTGGGCCGGTTTGGGCGGATAATGGGGTGGATTTTGCTTTGGGCTAAACCAAATTGGCCCAAATCAGCCCTTCTTCTAATTCTTTTCTTTTTCTTTTCAATTTCAATTTTCCTTTTCTTTTCAAATTAGTTTAAATCCTAAATTAACTAAATTAATTTCCCAAATTAAAGTAATCACTGATCATAATATTTACAACAATTAATTAATTCCTAAATTAAAAGAAACTACAAAAATTTAAAATTAAAAAGTTAAAAATGCAAAGTGAATCATTTTTGCGATTTTCATTTTGTAAAACAACTAATTAACCTAAAAAAATGTAAAAGATAAATTCTAAATGCAAATGCAATGTATTTTGTATTTTTTTTCATGATTTAAATAAACTAAACATGCACAGACAAATGTAAGCAATCAAGAAAATTCTACAATAATTCTTATTAATAAAAAAAATATAATTTTGAGAATCCTGTAGGAGTAATTCATGTGAGGCAAAAATCACGTGCTCACAAACGTGAGACCCCGTGATGTTGAATAACTGAATTGGTTAATTATTTAAATTTTGTATTTGTATTTATTTTCCTTTTTATTTTTTTGAATCTCCAAATTTATTGGAGTTTTGTCCTAAAACATGACACATATCGATATTTTGTTTTGACACATGACATAATATCATGAATTTGCTTCTCCTTATTAAAATAGATGACCGAGTATATTTGACCCTAAGCCTATAGTTCGGGTAGTTCTGGCCCTTTTCCGAAATATCAAAGACAATTACTATAACGTCTGTTAACGAGAATAGAAACAAAAAGAAAGTTGTGTCCCCTTTCTTCTGATTCACTGCCGCGCGCCCTACTTCACATTAGCCTCCCCCCCAAAGCACTTGTTCGTCTCCTCTCTCTCTGCAGTAAGCTTCCCCTTATATCTCTCCTTGTACTTGATTTTTGTTCATGTTTTGTATTGAGTTTTTCTCCTATTTTAGGAATATGATATAAATTTTCCCTAAGATATCCTAAGAAATTCATCTTTGATAATCATTAGTTTATGGATAGTTATGTTTCTGTCTGGCTCTCGACTCCCTATTGTATATCTGAAATTTTGCAATTTTTGACTATTAAATATTTGTTTTTTGATAACCGTGGTGTCCGGGCCAACTTTCGTACATGTGATATCACCTAGTATTTTGTGTCTGCTGGATTTGAACCCGAGACAATGATTATTAAATATTTTATCAGAAGACTGCCTAACTGTCTTACTTTTCGACTAATGTTAGAAAAGATATGCATTAGTGAATAAGTCAAGGAAATAGTAACGACAACAAAATAATAGTAAAATCGAAATGCAGCATTGTTAGATAGTAATAGAAATCGAACAATATGGAAATACCAGAATAACTCTACCACTACTAGGATAAAAGAAAAGACGTCCGTCTCTCTACTATCCTTCTACCCCGATTCTCGACTTCCACGCTCTCATGTCAAGGGTCATGTCCTCGATAAGCTGATGGCGAAGCTATAATAGAGTGTACGGGTTCGGACGAATCCAGTAATTTTTTTCCGGACCTTGTATTTGTATTGATAATTTTATTGTTGTTACTATATATATATATATATATATATATATTTAGTACGCCGAACCGAGAAGCAAAAGGGATCTGGGTTCACTGGCAAAGGTTCTGTTTTCACAGGGAAAACACTGATTCCCCAGAAACGACGCAGCATTTTTGTTAATTTAAAAAAAAAAAAAAACTAAATAAGGAATAGAAGAACGACAAAGGTACAAAGTTATGTTTCCTTCATGCTTTAGAATTACCATTCCCCTTCTAATAAAGAAAAAGGCAACCCTTCCCCTTTTTATTTTTTTTATTAATAAAGAAAAACACAAATCAATTACCCATATCTTCTCTAAAACAAAATAAACAGACATGTTTCCTTTACAATCCAACTGCACTCAAATCAAACAAAGCTAGGGTTTTGCCTTTCTGCTCCAATTGATGATTATCGCCTCTACTGCGTCTTCCTTCTTCTTTTTCACTGTATATTCTTTCTTCTTCTTTTCGATTCTTTTTCTTTCCCTATTATATTTTATATTTTGTGTAACAATTCATACAAATATAATTTTTAATCTTTGATTTTAGGTATGTCCTACATTTTGACCTCTATTCTCTTTGCAATTTGTGCTTTCCAAAATTTCAAAGGCCAAGCCCCGACAAATCGACAAGGTACGTGGTCCTACTTTCTTGTATTAGTTTCTTAGTGCGGATAATATCCTCGATAACATAGTGAATTTAGAGATTTTCAGATTATCAACCTTTGTTTTTTAATTGATTGTTGTCATTCTTTTTTGATAGAGTAATTGACTTTGGCTTTGTTAGCATCTAAATTTGGCTATCGGGTAAATTAGTAGATGGCACAGTATAAAAGGATAACTAAAGTAGTTTGAGTAGCTACAAATTAGCATATCCATGGGCGAGTTGGATACAGTTTTCTTTCTAATTTTGCTTCTTTGTGTATCAATACATTTTCATAGCAACATATTTTATATTTCTAAGAGGCCACAAACTTACAGTAAAGGTGGCCAAGATACATTAATCTCTGTTGAGCGTGAACAACTAAAGATATTTTAATTACTCTACTGGATGCTATAAAGAATAAGTTGTTCAATAATAATGTTTATATTCAAATATTATGTTTGTCTGGTTCGTTACTTTTTAATTGTATATTAAATATCGGTACTCGTTCTTTAGTGTGCTTGTCATTGTATATTACTTTTGGGTCTCCTATCTTAAAATTTAGAACCCATACACTTCAAATCCTAGCTCCGCCTTTGAAGCTGAAGATGCGTTATTTCTTGACTAATGTTTATCATATCGTATGCTCTAATTGCTTAGGAAAAGTACTTTCTGTTTTCCCGTAATTGTAGCGATTTTTCATATGAATCTTTTGAAGAATTTTTCTCCGGGAAATAGCTTCCAAAGAACGTTTTTATTAGAATTATTTTCTGAAATAGTGTTGTAATGAAATCAAGATTTTAAGAATTCCACACTAATGTTTCTTTTTCAGATTATCTCTCTCTAAAAGAATGTTTCTTTTTTCTTTAAAGAATAATGAAATGCGTTTTGCCCCTTCATAGAAAGAAATAGTTGTGACTCCTTGAACTCTCTCTTTCAATCTTAGGCTGCCTCCTTACCCTATTTAAATAATTGTGACTTTACACTGAGTTTGTTTCTTGATCAGTTGCACTATCTTGCAGTTGCTCCCAGTTGCAACTATTACTTATTGCTGCAGTTTGCCATCGCTAAGCAATGTTACCTCCTTTTTTAGTTTTTATACAACATTTTGTATAAATATTTGTAATACACACACATTTGTATTTATGCCGAAATTGGGTGATTATTTGTCTGGCATTCTCTTTTCTTTATTCTTGGACAAAAATCGCATAGGATGTCATGATCAAATATTACCACCCTTAACTGTTGTTTCTCTTATCCTTTTTTCAGCTCTTAACTGTTAAATAGGTTCTTTGATGTCGGACCCTGAGGCTTCAGCAGATGAACACTATGTTTCCATTCCTCGTGGTGGTCCTATTTACATTTCCGACATGGTTGGTCCACTCACTAAGGTTGCTGACTTTGAGGTCAGCATCTTCCGTGAACTTGAGGTATGAAGTTGTTGTTCACATTTAGATTACAATGACACTCAATGTGAATATTTTACTTTGAAGCTTGTCTACCTTTTATAGATTCCACGTTCATATGAAGACATACTTCTGTCAGGAGTTTGTATGCAGAGCTCCCACCTCAAATAAACAAAAATTAAACATGAAAGAAAGAAGATAAAAAGGTCTATTATGGATTTCATCATTCTGATACCTTGATTAAGGTCAGTATTCTAAGTATCTTGTTCTGTTATGCAGCGGCTCAAGGCAGAGTTGTCCGTTGATTCACTTGAAATGTTTGATAATGAGATATCGTAAGTGCATTTTTTTTGCTCCTCTTTTATACTAGAAAAGGAAAGAAAACTAAAATGTATCATATGTACCTGCCACTTACTTCTCTTGCATATCCTTTAACTATGGTGATTAATTTATTTTTTTGAAATGCAATACTGCGAGTTTTTTGGTTAACTATGTCATGGATGTGGGAGTAAAAACTGAAACAGGATTTCCTGGAAATATTTTGAGGGATTCCTCTAGCTTTTGTCAAGATCAGCTCTTTGTTTTTTGAGTCTTTGGGTTTTCGTTGCACAGATTGATTCTTTTCCCTTTTGGGTTGTAGAATATTGTGCTCTGCTCCCAAGTTTCTTATTTAGACAGAAGATATCATTAAGTAACTGTGATTGAGGGGATGATCTCATAGCATCTATTTCATTTAGAGTGGTTTTGGGATCGTTTATATTTATCAATAACCCCTTGTTAGTAGGTTGTTTTTAAATTCTTTTTCGTCTTTAAGTAATATGTGACAGCTGATAACTTGCAATCCGTTTTATTTTGGCAGCTGATAATTATTTTATTTTTTCTTTTCACTTTAATTTAGTGGATGTACTTTAAAGAATATCAAAATTGATTAACGTTTCTAATACCATATCTACTCCCTACTACCCAAATAACTGCAGTGGTACTTATCCCATAAAATAGTAGTACTTAGTAATTATTACATTGACTCTTCAAATTCAAACTTCGGTAAGATGGATTTTTGTATGGCTTGTTTAATAGGTTCTGACCAATCTACTCCAATTGTTCGTAGAGTTAACTGACTCTTGTCTTTGATTGCCTTGTAGGATTGAAGATCTTAAAACTTTCAGTGAAGAGGAATTGGTGGCTCAGGCCTTTGAAGAAGCGTTTAAGGTACAATAACATTCTTTTTAATCATAGGAAGCCATTCTAACAGTTAGCTTACAAGTCCTCACTAATCAGAAAAAAGCTCAGTTTACAAACTTTCACCTTCAAAAGAAAATAAATGGCCTGTTTGTTTACCAGATCTTCATGTGATGAATACAGGATGATGAGCTGATCAAAGAATCTTCACAAACTTTGACAGAGCACCTTGGTACAAGGTTAGTTAAATGAATATTCTAGACCAAGACCCATTTTACTTACTTTTGGCAGTCTTTGTTTTTTCTCTTTGCATTAGATGATGTATCAATAGTTTTATGAAGCGTGTCCAATTCCAACTATGTGACTCTTGATACTTGATTAGCTTGGAATCTTGGTTTCCTTTTGTTCCGGGGGGGGGGGGTATGCATGTGCAAATCTTATACTATTTTAATAGCAAAGCAAGTTAAACAACTTCTAGGATTGAATATTTATTGATTAAGAAATAAATTAATATGTTGATCTTTAAAAATTATTCTTACATGTGTATATATCTATGGAAAAGGGGATGGAAAATTATTCTTTCTGCTTTTGACATTCTATGTAATAGTGTCATTGACAGGTTTTCCAACAAAACAGTTATATCTTCAAGTTATCTCTTGACGTCAAAATTGTATTTCCAACAGCGATTCAACCTGATAAAACTATATTTCACTGTTCATTCTATCCGTTCACTTGTGCTTGTTTGCAGTTCTGCATGTGTTCCACACTCATTTGACTTAATCCTATATTTTTCATCACCCTTTTTTACTAAAAACAGAAGAACAGATAACAGGATTTCAGTTACTGAACTTGCTTCATTTGAAAGGTCAGAAAGAGAAGTGGACTCTTCTACTATCCATGATCCCTCAGACTATGTCGCCCGCGACAACAAAGGTTCAGATAAAAGCAAGTCCAACAAGAGGAAGCGGGGGAAGAATGTTCATCAGAAGAATGCTGTTGATGTATGCTAGTGAGCTTTTCTGTTATACATCTGTTTTAGTACTGTATTTTCTGTTGTATTGAAGTCTTTGTTTGGTTCTTAGTGATTTGAATTTCTGTTTACCTACTAAAAATAAAGTTAATGTCCTGTCCGATCATGGATATGGTCGAGAGTTCTGGATAGTTTTACTATGCCACAGCTGGCACATCAGATCACTTGAATGGGTAATCTTGCATTTTTTTTTGTACTGATGTTCTAGTTAAGATGTATTGGAGTAAATCATATGTTCAGGCTTATTTTTGCCCTTTTAATCTCTTAAGAATTTACTTTCCAAATTAGACTGATAGGCGTTTGTCATAGATCATAAAGAAGTGGTAGTATGAAAACTGAAAGGTGAAATCTTGATAATACTGACTTCAGAAGTGTTGATCATGAATGGAAGCTCCTACAGCTAATCATTGAAAAAAGCCTTCAAAACTCAAAGAAATCTACTTTTATTATCCTGTTAATCCTAGTTGCACATATTCCAACAGGTTGAAAATGAGAGATCTGATCAAATGCCTAGTAATACCTTGTTGAAAAATAGAAGGTAATATTTGAGCAGGGTAAAAGTACGGAGGAAAGCGTAAATGACGAACATAATTTGCTTGTAAAGGCTGCCAGTTCATTTAAGTCACATCTTATATATTTTTGTTCATCGACATTGTGTTTGCACATTATTTCCCCATTTTCTTTGTCCTCACGGTTTCAGTGTAAGTATTTTTTTTAAAGAAATGAATTCATATTCTTGCATTTTGTAGGAAGACTATGTTCTGAAGGTGGAACAACTTGCAAAAATTAAAGAAAAACAAGAGGAAGAGAAAGCAGCAGCAAGATTGCATTCTTTCAAGTACAGATCATCGTCTCTAGTTGATATGTTTTTATTTATGACTAAACCAGCTTGTTATATCCATTATTCATATTTTCATGTCTTGTTTCCTCTTACGTTCAACATCTTAGCTATATTTTTGTATTGGCTCAGTGGTAGTTGCAGCAGCAGCCACTCTGCTTCAACATCTTCCAGTAAGATTGGCAGGATGACGTCACTCAAGTCAATAAGTTCGGGAACAAAGGTTAGTTTACATTGACTTCCTTAGACCTTGATTCTTATATACTGTATGACCTGGGTTTTGGATGAATCTAGAATTTAAAAGGTATGGAGCAAGAGTAAAGTTAGTTTAAAGCTTGTTTAGGCTGTTTAAAAAATTAATGACTATTCTATCTTTTGCTTATATATATGGAGCGGTCTTCTGGTCTATTAAGAGATATAATTGAACAGTTTTCACCCCACCATATAATCCCATTGCATACTTCTTTGTTTTTGAATGCCATGATAGAAATACATGACCGTCCAACTCTCTTTCCCCTTATTACTGCAAAAGTCTGGCTTGCCGTGACAGATAAACATTCTGACTATCTTTATGGTAAAAAATTCTGTTTATTGACTGGCTACTTTCTCTTTGCTGTGAGAGCATCTTTTCTGTTGTCATTTTCATGGGTATGGGGTTGGGTGAGGTAAGGGGTTTAATGTTTTATACCTCTTATTAATTTTAGTGGAAATTTGTATTTTATGTATTTGCAAGGAAAAGTGCTTCTTCCATCCCTCGATTAGGTTGGTATATCAGATCTGCTTTGAACTACTAACCATTAATTAAGGAATTGGTCAAATTTATTTGCTAATCAATAGCATCAAGAAGAACATCTATGAAGATGAACTACTACAGGTATATTGAGTGTCAAACAAAGGTCTGTCAATCTTCACAATTTAAAATTTTATTTTCAAAGCTTTTAGAATTTATATCTTTATCTGATTAGGTTTTAGAAAAAAGGATGAAAAGAGTACCTTGTTACAATACTTGAGTGGACAATATGATATACAACTTTGCAACCTTATTTTCCATCCATGCAAATGCTCTCTTCCAGAGTATCCACTCAAGTGCCTGAGGTGTTTATGAAAATAACAATTAAAGAGATTGTTTTAAAGAATATAGTTACTAATTGGATTTAGAAGTGTAGTACTAATTAGCAAATCTTGTTTAAATTTTTTTTATTGTAAAATGATTTTGTTGACAATGGATTTATTATATAAGGAGTATACCAAAAAGTAGAGAGCTTTCACAAAAATATGGTTCCCTAATCACCAAATGTTCTATACAGACCGGAACCTCATGAGTGCACCAAAACAAAACTAAAAGAGGATATTCCTCATATGTACAAAGTCAGTCTCTATACAGTCAAAGGCTTTCTTACCCCTCTCCATAGGACACACACAAGTGCAATTGGAGCAACATCCCATACCTTGTGTCTTTTTTTTTATATATTTTTTTTTTACTTTTTTGATAAGGTAGAATTTGATTAACAAATGGTACCAAAATGGTACAAAATTACAAACAACCAGCAGCTACCGCAACAGGGCAATTACATTCCTCCTAACTCTAGAAAAACCATATGATGTTCCATATTTTCCATAGCATACTTTTACACCAGTACTTTTACACCAGAAATTGGTGGGATTCTTATGTGGTGGAAGGGGAAGCTGATTCTATTCTTGCAAAGAAGTTGAAGCTGTTGGAAGAAGATTTAAAAAAGTGGAACAATGAGACTTTTGGAAAGTTAGAGGACAGAAAGAACAAAGCTTTGGCAAGGTTACAAGATCTTGATCATAATTGAAGGAATATTTCCCCTGAGCAACAAGTAGAATATGAGGCAGAAAGAAAATCCATTAAGAAGCAACTAGAAGAAATGGCAAAGGCTGAAGAAATTTCCTGGAGGCAGAAATCTAGATGCCTGTGGATTGAACACGGAGACAAAAATACAAAATTTTTCCATAAGCAGGCTAACGCTCATAAACGATACAATAATATTGATAAATTGATGATAGAAGATGTGCTGGTGGAGGATGATCGATTCATTAAAGCTCACATTTTGGATTTCTACTAGAGTCTGTTCAGTGAGCCTGAACAATGGAGGCCAAATTGGGAGGATGAAGGAATTAAGAAGTTGTCAGAGGAAGATAAGAAATGGGTGGAAAGGTCATTTGAAATGGAAGAATTAGAAGAGGTGATAAAATCTTTCAAAGGAGACAAGCCTCCTGGCCCTGATGGCTTCAATCTTTTTTTTTTTCAAAAATGTTGGAGCATAGTAAATATGGATGTTTGGAAGGTTGTTGATACTTTTTACAATAAAGGTTCCTTTGTCAAAAGTCTGAATGCTACTTTTATTGCTCTAATTCCTAAAAAGAAAGGAGCAGTGGAGGTCAAGGACTTCCGACCTATTAGCCTCTTGGGGAGTGTTTACAAAATTATCTCCAAATTGTTAGCTGAAAGACTAAAGGCAGTCATTAGCAAATTGGTCTCTTCTAATCAGAATGCTTTTATTAAAGGAAGGCAAATTTCTGATGCTGTCCTGGCAGCAAATGGAAGTCTAGTCTGGATAATCTGTTGAGGAGAAAGAAAAAAGGAATAGCTGGTAAGCTTGATTTAGAGAAGGCTTATGATCATGTCAATTGGGATTGCTTATTGAAATTGTTAAAACTGATGAATTTTGGTGAAAAGTGGTTGGAATGGATAAGATTTTGCATTTCATCGGTGAAATTTTCCGTTTTAATTGATGGAAATCCACAAGGCCTTTTCAGCTCTCACAGAGGTATCGGGCAAGGAGATCCCCTTTCACCCTATTTATTTGTCTTGGTAATGGAAATCCTTAGCGGTATGCTGAGGAAAGCAGAAGCTCTGGCATTAAGGTCTCAGAATTGGCAAGAATGATCAGGAAGGGATGATACTTAATCATATCCTCTATGCTGATGACTCTCTCCTGTTTTGTGAAGCTGAGAGAGTACAAATCCTGTATTTGAGAGGAGTGCTACTATGTTTTGAGGCAGTCACTGGATTAAAAGTCAATTTGGCTAAAAGTAGCATTTTTAGTATAAATGTTGATGAGTGTGTAGAGGAGTTGGCAGAGATTATGGGCTATAAAGTAGAAAATTTCCCTACTGTCTATTTGGGGTTACCTTTAGGGGCAAAGAGAAAGGATAAAAACATTTGGCAAGGTGTCATTGAAAGGTGCAGTAATAAACTTACTCCATGGAAGAATCAATACTTATCTTTTGGGGGCAGGTAGGCTGACTCTAATAAATAGTGTCTTGGATGGGATACCCACATACACCATGTCTTTATTCAGTATGCCTAAAGCAGTAGAAAAGAAATTAGATTCTATAAGAAGAACTTTTTTGGGATGGAAGCTCAGACAAGAAGAAGACACATCTGGTTAAATGGCAAGTGGTTATTGAAGATAAAAAGAGAGGCGGATTAGGAGTGAGGAATCTGAAATTGCACAATAAAAGCTTACTATTTAAATGGCTATGGAGATATAGTAGAGAGGGTGAGGAAGTTTGGCAGAAAATAATAGATGCCATTTATGGTGCAAAGATTGGGTGGAAACAAATTCCTTCCCAACTGAGAAGCTGTGGCGGGATTTGGAAAATGATTGGTGGCTGGTGGGACGAATTTTTACAGCATACTAGTTTGGAGGTGGGAAATGGTGATAGGATTAAATTTTGGCTGGATATTTGGTGTGCTAATGAGAGCTTCAAAAGCAGATTTCCAGATCTATTTAATTGTGCGTTGAATAAAGAGGGCTATGTTGCAGGTTTTAAAGCAGAATCAGGATGGAATGTTACTTTCAGAAGAAATCTGAACGACTGGGAAGTGGATAGTTTCTGTGAACTGCTTCAGCTTCTGAATTCATATTCAATAGATCAACACAAAACAGATAGGCTTATTTGGATCGGCAACAGGGATAATATATTCACAGTGAATAATTTTTACAAAAGGTTGCTACAACAAAGTAGTCAGGGAACTCTAAACTGGCCTTGGAAGATGATTTGGAGAACTAAAGCACCTATGAAAGCAACTTTTTTTGGTTGGCTAGCAGTTAGGGATGCCTGCCAAACTCAGCATAAGTTACAGAGGAGAGGGTTTTCTCTGTGCAGTAGATGTTATTTTTGCAACACAGAGGAGGAAACAGTTGAGCATCTCTTCTTGCATTGCAAATTTTCAAGACAGTGCTGGGTTTTTTTTTTTAACATAATGGGCATATCTTTGGTGCTACCTCAGAAGATTAGTAACTTTCTGGAAATGTGGCAATCCCGGAGAGTAAAAAGAAGCTTAAAGCTAATATGGAAAACTATTCCCAACTGCATAATGTGGACATTATGGCTGGAGCGAGATAAAGCATGCTTTGAGGGAAAGAGACTGCAGATTGCTAGAGTAAAAAACAAATGTATTAAAAATTTGTATTTCCGGTGTTATAGCAGTTTTTTAGATGAGATGGACCAGTATTTGGATTTTTTGCACTTGTTAGGAGAAAATATGTAGTATGAATTAAGTAAGAGTTGTAGTCTGGTCCTGTACTTTTTTTCTATGTACCATCTTGGTACCAGTTATAATAAAATCTTCACTTATCAAAAAAAAAAAAAAAAAAAAAAAAAAAAAATATAATTTAATCCTGGAAACATGCTGCCTTTCCCCTCCAGAGAAAATCTTCTTTCTTTCCAACCATATTGTCAAGAGCACACACAGAGGAATTGTTCTCCACAATATCTGTTTGACTTTCTGCTATTTTTCGGTGTTGCCAAGTCTCCAACAGACTCCTGATATTGGAGGGCGCTTGACATCATATATATTTAGAACGAGCTTCCAACACTGTCTTGGCACTTTGCAATGAATGATACATGACTGACTGTTTCTGCTTCTTCTTCACACATGTACACTGGTTACATAGAATAGTTTCTCTCTTCTGCAAGTTCTCGTGAATTAAACAAGCTCTCTTTGCTGCAACCCAACCAAACAAAACCACTTCAGCAGGTGCTTTTTATTTCCATAACTAATCTGATTGATAAAGCCCCTGTTTTTCTTTTAGCAGACTGTAACAACTCCTGACTGTGAAGGTACCATCTTTGCTTGCTACCCAGATCAGTGAGTCTTTCTTGTTGTCCTCCAATCTAACCATGTTCAGTAACTGCATCAATTGAGCAAATTCATCAACTTCCCAGTCATTAAGACCTGAAGATCAGCTCCCAACCAGTATTTGAGTAAAAGTCTGATACCCTTCCATTTTTGTTTGTGGAGCAGCTACACAAAACAGGAAATTTTGATCTAAAACTTTCACTTCCCAACCATATATCAGACCAAAATTGGGCATTATTACCGTTCTCCAGTTTCAACTTTACCAACTGACTGTATTTAGTCCATAAACCTTTGATTGTGCACCAGACTCCCCCCTTTGAAGAAGAATGAACTGAACAAGTCAACAAGGAGCCCACATGTCCTTCCTACCATACCTGGCATCTCTCAGCTGTTTCAATAATCTGTTGCTATCATCATCAGGAACTCGTGCCTAAAGGCGAAACTATAATCTTAAAGGTAATTTGCCTTCCTATATGAGAGCAACATCTTCATTAAAATTAGTCAGAAACTTAGAGGAACAAATAGGAAGACAAATTACCTTTAACATTATAGTTTCACTTTCACCAGTAGGCCCTTTAGCAACTTGTCTCAGGAGAAGCAGACAAAGAAAAAACATATCTTGCATCTTCTCCTCCTTCTGTTGCCCAACTATGCAGCGGTTCATTCACTATACCTGGAATCATCACTATACACCAATCAACTAACTATTCCCACCACAAATGTCTTGCCACCTTGCAGTGTAACAGAATGTGGTAATTCAATGCTTCTCTTAATGAATGCTGCATTTTTTTCATTGTTAATAATAGTAATCTGCATGTTTGCACACTGTTAATATTCGTATTGGACAGTCCTTTATTACCTGAAGAACAACTCATATTACCTTAAACCTTTTGAATTTCATGTAAGCCAATATCATTGGGTAAAAACATACCCGCACCGGGTATTTACGCCAAACCAACAGAAGCATGGCATTTGTTTACACATAGAGTTCTATCGCTTAATCATGGTTAATTTATGCATGTTTTTACTTCATTAAATTAGCTAATCATAGTAAGTTTAATTGGTTTGGTGTAAACACCCGATGCGGGTAAGTATTCACCATATCATTGTACTTGCATTGTAAATCCACAGTATATCTATGCGACGTCATCATGACCTTTCTAGTATCACTCTTTATAGAAAGCTAAAGTAATTTCATTACAGTTGTAATCTGAATTAGATGTACACAAGACTCTTGATAATTTGGTCTTCTCTGATCTTTAGTTCTAACCAATGATAGTTTGTTGATTTGCATGCTTGGTTTTGGTTTATGGCAGGTGAGGGCAGCAAATGCTCGTGGACATATTGCAGTACACTTTCCAGAAGTTGTCCTCTGTATTGAGGTTTATCATTACAAAAAGACATGGGTAAAAGTATGAACATGCTCTTTGTTGCTATCTTTGAAGCGCTGATTAAATGAACTTTTAAATTATCGACTATGAACAGGCTCTTTGTGCTATCTCTGTTGCAACTTGCAACAGTATGTTTGTGACCTTCTTTGGGTGATAAAATAGAAGGCTTTTCTGCTAGGTTATAGCTTATTCATGGTCTTAACATTTTAAATTATTAACTGAAATAAGTAAATTCAAATAGAACCTCCTGTATTTGATAAGATAAACTACTTGGAGTCGGGTGAAAGTGTGAGGGGTTTCATTGTTGAAGATGATCAAAGATCTTCCTATTGTATTGCTTTTTTTAGTAACTCGTGTAACTTTATATTCTATCTGATTGTTACAACTGACTATGATGATATATATCTGTAGACTCAAGAATTTCTGGTCCTTGGGCGGCAATTTTTGACAGAAATGAGAGACAGGATATATTGCATTACTGATGAGATAATGAAGAAGACAGGCCAGGATGATCCGTCGGGCTATTTCCTTGTGGAGGTAACTTTTCCGGTCCAATTTTATTCTCTAATGATAAATATCATTTTTCTTCTGTTCCTTACTATTTTCTTATCACCAACCTAAAATTTTTCCATAGGATGTCTTTTGCAATGATTTTAGGCATCCTGCTGCTGTAGATTATAGTAAGCCAATACTTAATTGGCTTCAAGATTCTAAGAGTGAGGCGCTGGAAAAATGGGAATCTATCGCCTCTGGTGAACTGCCACAGAAACAAAAGGCCCTTCTAGGCAGTAAAATTGGACCACAATTGCCTCATTTCAAGACCGCTAAAATGCAAGTTACTCGTTTCTGTGACTTAAGATTTCGACTTGGTGCTGGATATCTTTATTGTCACCAGGTAATATTTCTTTCAGTGTGTTTTGTTTTTGTTTTTCTGTTGCTCAGGGGAATATTTCATTATTAATCAAATTAATTTTAATATATATTGACCCTTGCGGTCCGGCCCTTCCCCGGAACCCGCACATAGCGGGAGCTTAGTGCGCCGAGCTGCCCTTTTATAACTGTTACTTGATGGCTTTGTGTATGTTTTGCCTTGTATAAGGGGGATTGCAAGCATCAAGTTATAATAAGAGACATGAGGTTGATACATCCAGAGGACGTACAGAACCGAGCTGCATATCCGCTGATCACCTTTCAGCCTAAGTTGCGGTTCCAGAAATGCTCTGTTTGCAAGATTTTTAAAGCAGTTAAGGTGACAGTTGATGATAAATGGGCTGCTGAAAATCCTTGCTACTTCTGTGACCTTTGCTATTACATGCTCCACTATGTAAACGGGTCGCTGCTTTACGATGATTTCTCTGTGTACGAATATCTCCATGAGTAACTTTAAATTAGAAGAGCTGACATGTGGGTTAGGTGCATGTCACGGATTCCAACCCTTCCGCGAACAACATTGGTATTTAAGTGGAGAAGAATAGAGGGTCAAATCCCGACACTACTCGTGACTTTGCAAGCAGGTTTCAGTTTCGCACAGATATGCAAGTTCAAACCAAAGAATGAATATATGCAAGTTCGAAGTTTCACACAGATAATAAATACTATTATCATCCAATTTATTACTACTATTGTCACCATCTATGGCAAATAGGTTTCAGTTTCTTTGTTTATTATTTTCAGAACTACTTGTTCCGAGTTCATCTACAGATTATATCCTCTTACGTTATACACAAATTAAAATATTAACTAATGCACTGGCCTGTCTAGTTTATCCTTTTTCTTTAATTGAATATTTTTGAAAGTTGAAAGTGTTATCGAGAAAAGGGAAGGGAAAAGCTTTAGTGAAAAATTGAAGAATGTATTTCAGAATTCAGATGTAAGGTAGTAGTAACTAGTAACCTTTCCGTTGAATTATTACTTAAATTGCATATGAAGTTAGATCCTTTTATAGCAAAAGTAAAACATTATTTTTCATATATACAGTTTGCTGACAAAAAGTTAACGATAATAAATCCAGACATTTGAACTCATGACTTAAGTAGGTCGATCAAAAATAATTACTCCATCCATTTCAATTTATGTGAACTTGTTTGATTGGGCACAGAGTTTAAAAAAAAATAAAATTTTGGAAATTTGTGGTTCTAAACAAGTCAAAAAAGGGCTTGTGTGGTTATAAAAGTTTTTCATTAAGGTTAGAATTGTAAGTTTAAGCTAAATTGATTTCAAATTTAGAAAGGGGTCATTCATTGACCAAAAAGGAAATAAGTTCACATAAACTGGAACGGAGAGAGTATATTTGCTAGCTAAATATTCAAAATATATACACGAATTATGTATAAAATACGTATATTATATATTAATATACAAAAGATACATATTTTATCGGCTATTATTTTTAGAAGCGGTTATACAGTATAATTTTCCCTAAACAAACTATCCTGAGATTAGCTAATATCCCAAACCAAACATGGGATAAAGTTAATCTTAAACTTTATCGGAATTATTATTCTTATCCCACAAGCTAAACGTTACCTTAGAGTGTGTTTAGTAATATAGAAAATATTTCTAAAATTTTGGTATTTAATTGTCACAAAATAATTTCTAGAGAAAAAAAAATTTCCACCATAAGGGGAAATTACTTCTCTCATCAGTTTTGGACTAAAGTCCATCACAATTATCTCCAATCTCAATGTTATATCTTTAATTTTTTTAAAGAGAAAATTACACATAGGTACAATTAAATTTTGTTATTAATTATCACTTAAATAATTAGTATTTAATACACAAAACACTATCAGGTTTGAGTTATCTAAACACAATCAGGTTATTTCTGGAAATATCTTTCACTCTCCAACCAATTACCGAAAATTAATTTTTAGGAAAATATTTTTTAGAAAACAATAGAGTAACTCGTTTTTTCGAAATATTTTTTTTGAAAAAAACTTTTGTCACATCAAACACACCATAGACATTGTAGATAATTTTTTTTTGAAATGTTAATTAAAAAACATTTATAATTTTCTAAATCGACAACCCAAATATTATCGGTAAAAGGAGAAAAAAGGGAGAAAAAGAAAAATATGTGGAGAATAGATAATCAAAAAAGAAAAAATGGATCACCACTCACCGGTGATTACCATTAATCAATTACCACTATAAATATCAGGAATTTTTGCTTTCATTTTCTTCCCTAATCGTGATTATTAAAAATCACCACCCGGGTCTTCCGTATACAGCGATCCCGAAATTTTTTTCCGTTATCCCTTCGCTATCTCCTTCTATATCTGTATCTATATAAAATTAACCGTATTATATAATATATTCTTCTTTATCTCTTCGAATACTATTAAAAAAATAATTCAAATCCGTTCGATTTTCTCATCACTGTATGGCGGTTAATTTTCTGAACCGGAATGTGTCAGATTTGTGCGTAGGGAAACCGGCGTTAAGGCCATTACCGGCGGCAGCCACCATAGCGGAGGCGTTAGCGGTGTTGAAAAAGTCCGGCGAAGCTAACGTGAGCGTGTGGAGCTGTGACCATTTGAAGAAGGTTCTAGAAGGTAGTAATTGTGAGTGCTGTTGTGTTGGGAAGATTTGTATGGTGGATGTGATTTGCTTTTTATGTAAAAACGAGAATTTGGATAATCCTTCCAAGGCTCTTGAGGCACCTGTGTTGCAGATTTTGCCGAAAGGGAATCATATTGTGAGGCATTTGGCGCCCAATTCAAGGTACTGTGATATTTTTCGTTTGAATTTTGATTCTCACTCCGTCACAATGTATGTGACTTACGGCTTATTTGGATGGTTGTTACGTATCTTTTCGTAATGTAACGTATCGTATTGTACTGTATTGTTTTGATCTATACAAGGTTTGGATAGATTGTATTATTTATTGTCGTTTCATGAAGCCATGCACCAACAATATGAAGAATAAACTTGCAATATTATAAAAAAAAAATAAGGTACGAGATAATATTATATATAAAAAGGTAGGGTAAATGAAAAATAAGATTATTTAATAATAAAAAAGGGGGCAAGATGAGAAAAAAATAAGGAAACGACGTGGCCACACAAAATCGGTCGTTTTATAAAGTGACACTTTTCATCGTTAGGTAATGACAAATTTAATTATAAGATACAATAAAATTTAAGTAACAATCAAAACAAACATAGTATTTGAAGTAACAATATAATACAATACAACAGAAAACAACCATCCAAACAAGCTATTGAATTGCAGAAGAAATGAGGACTTTCTAAAATTGTGGACTTAAACATGTATAGCATTTGTGTGACTATAAAACTTTTAAGACTTACATATTAATTTATGTGGGTATAAAAGCTTGATAAATGGAAAGTGTAAAGCTAACTGTTTCCTAATATAAAACTCAGGAGTCGCCCTTCCATGTTTCCTTTGGGTGGCGTATGCGCATGTTTGATTATGATACTAGTTGATGTATTTGAGCATAAAGGTGGTGTTGTTCTTTTTTGGAATGAGAGTAATAAGGAAATATCACGTAAACGGAAACGTTAAAGTAATTGATTTTGGTGCTTTAATTCGAGAATGGATCTTTGTTTCATCATGTTTGATTATCCATGTATTGATTCTTGTTCTCGTCAGACTCAATTCAATTAGATCTATCATTTTTCTTGAGCTCCATGAGAAGAAAGCTTCCATACTTTATAGGGGTTGTTGTTCATTTACATCTGTCCCCATGAGCCATCCATGAACCGTGGCAGATGTTCAATCTCAAAATGGAGGAAAAGATCTTTGTAAAGTGAATTTCTATAATCCCATGAAGAATCAATTTTATCTGAATGTTCATGTTGTCTCAAAAAGAAAAACGAGTCAGGAGTATAAAGGCCAATGTATCTATTTCCTTTTTCAAAATGTATTTATTAAGTTTTAACAAGAAGTTATTATAAAAACGTTTTATTAGAAAAGGCAAACTGTTTTCCTAGAAGAGAAAAACTGTTTCTGAAAGAAGTGATTTTTTTTTAACCGAGAAATCTATCTGGGGCCAGTATTTTGGGACAAGAGTAATATTTGTAGTTCAATTTTTTCCTTCCTGGGAATTACGTTTTACATATAGAAAAAGTCCTGTATTTTCAGCCCCCAATCCAGTTTTGGCGCAATGTTTGAGGGATGGTGACTATTTACCTAAAACGTGTAAATAATAACTATGTCTCAATCCCAATCCCAAGCTAGTCAGGATGGAGTATACGAATCCTCCTAAGCTCAATTCCAAACTATTTGTGCTCGAGTAGATGATTCCCTTGTATCCATACTGCTCTATTCTGACCCATTTCATCCAATTTTTTCCCCTATCAAACGTCTATTGTCACTTGTCAGCTGTGTTATGATTTGTTTAGTAGTCTCTCTCTTTTGTGGTTTTTTCCTTTTCTGGTTTACACGTGTTGTTGGCACGAGCAACTTCTGGAACTTCAAAAGGCATCACATTATTGATGCTTGCCATGTCTCTGATAGCCTCATGCTTCATCAAGTTGAAGCTTTACCGGACATTATTTTCTGTTTACTGATGTTGTTTCATGTTATTGTTTGTCTTCTGAAATTATCTTATGTTCAGCTTGCTGGAAGCAATAGATTACATTCTGGAAGGCACACAGAACCTGGTTATACCGATCCAAAAGTGCGTGAGCACAAATACTAGGAAAACGCTGAGTAAATCTTCCTCTCTGAGTTGCAAACATCATGACGGAGTTGAATACTGCTGGCTAACGCAAGAAGACATTGTCCGTTTCCTTCTGAATTCTGTTGGTGTCTTCTCCCCTATGCCCACATTTTCAATTGAATCGCTCAACATCATAGATAATAACGTCATGACTGTATGTTACCATGATCCTGCGATCTCTGCCTTAGATTCCCTTGCTCTTGCACACGTTGAGCAAACTTCAGTGGCTGTTGTTGATGATCACGACAAATTAATTGGTGAAATCTCCCTCTTCACTCTTGCATACTGCGATGAAACGGCAGCAGCAGCAGCAATATTGACCCTTTCAGCCGGTGATCTGATGGCTTACATTGACTGTGGTGGTCCTCCAGACGACTTGATCGAGCTGGTGAAGACGAGGCTGCAAGAGAAAAAGCTTGGCGCAGTATTGGAACTAATGGATGAAGAGTTCTCATTGTCTTCGTCATCATCCTCAGCTTCAAGTTGTTCTTCTGATGACGAGTTAGGGGTTTGCAGAAATAATGTTTCAGGACGATATTCATCAGCAAGAAGGGCGGAGGCAATCACGTGTTATGCAAGCAGTTCGTTGGTGGCTGTGATGATTCAAGCACTTGCACATCGCGCAAGTTCCGTTTGGGTCATGGATGAGGATAACACTTTGATTGGTTGTGTAACATTTAAAGGAATTCTGAAAGTTTTCAGGAGTCCTGCGAATGCGAGGCCTGCAACCAAATAAGGAGAATACAGTGAAGCATATGCACAAAATTGTGTCAAAATTCTTTCAAATGATTGGGAGACTTTTTCGGTGGTGATTGAAACACGTTGAGTTGGAGAATATAGTTAGTTTTAGAACTTAATCTTTGTATATGTTGTTTTGAATGGACATTATGTCTATTAATTATTTTCATAGTGAAAGTTTAATCCTAATTTTATGGCTTTGCAATGGAGCATCATCTCCACAGTACAATTGATCTATCAAAAAACAAAAAGCTGTCTTATATATGGGGTAAAAACTTACTTTTATAAACTATGAATGTAAGACATATGTCTTTTATATACATATTTAACAATTAATCATAGTTAAGTGACAGAGGCAGAACCATGATTTGAACCTTACGGGTTTGAAATTCTAATTCATTTAAGTTACTGGGTTCTAAATTAACAATTTATACATTTTCAATGAATTTTTTAATATAATATAGAGTTTGGACCAAAGTTACTGGATTCGGCCGAACTCGCAAGTTCTATGCTAGCTGCTTGTTAGGTGATATACATTTTCATTTTGATTTGTTAACTTTTAAGGTTAATTAATTATTTAGTTAAGTGCAAGTAACCAATGTGAATAAGTACTTACTCTATTATGACAACAAAAATAAGCTGTTATCATTAGCAAATTTCAGATAGAGGCAACTACACTAAATATCTTTAACAAACCTGAAAGCTGGATTGATAAGATTATCCTTTTCCTATAAGTATTAAATAACCCTTTGGAGTAAAAAATTGACTAATTAAGTGGAGTAGGTAGGAATAATCATCTTTATCATTGAAAGCAAAATAGCTTGATTTTACCATATGATCATATAATTCTTTGAGTATCATGTGTATAGAGCTTTAAATAATTCCTAACTAGTGGCAAATATAGTTTATTAATTACGGATTTAATTGAATCCATTATTTTCGACACAATATGAATATATATCCGAAAAATTATTAAATTTCAACGATTATGATATTATGAACATATTATGTCAAAAGTACAATACAAAAACTTTAAAAGTTGAACCGATCAAGTTTAAATTCTCGCATCTAGTCATACCTATAATGATGTTTGGATGAAATAAAACACATTCTCAAGAAAGTTATAATCTGGATCTAATAGCTGTGATATGATATTCCTGCTGTGAGACTATGACACGATTATTGTGATATAATAACCACTATGATATTTTCTTAGGTACATTAGATTTTATCATCTCTACCAACCATTGGCCCCATGCTTTTTGTTTTGGATTTCCATTCCTTCAAAAGTTTTTTGTAAGTTGTACGTTATAAGACAATATCTTAAAGGGAAAATTCTTATCAATCTCCAGATCTAGTATGCAAATTGATGGATTATAATATGCAGCGGAATCAATTCAAATATTTTACTCACATGTAAATTAAAAACTAGCATATATTTATGTTTGCACGAGTTATCTTAAAAAAAACTCGTTTATCACGTGAGACTCCTGTTACAAATATTCTACGGTCTTCTATTATATATAGTAATCGGGTAAAGTTTTTCACACAGTGTTTGTTAACCTGTTATAGAAGTTAGAAGGTAAATTACCTTTTTCTTTTCTAGGTTAACAGCAACACTAATCATAAAACGTTACTGTCAATTGTATAAATATTTTTATATTTTCAAGGCATAAAACTTAAATACGAGTAATATATAAACACAAGAATTGTTCATTAGTTTTTTCGGTAATAGGATTTCAGAGGAGTGTGGTTGTCCCTGAATAAGGAGCAAAAACTGGTATATAATAATACTGTTCAAGGTAAATCAGTTGTTAATCCCTGGTTCATCTTTAAACAAGGCAGCTCGGTGCGCAAGGTATAGTGTTCACATAGAATTTGGGAAGGGCTACTAGAGGCGGAGCCAAGATTTTAACTTTATGGGTTTTAGGTTTTAGAACAATAATTTCAAGAGCTACTATTTGGGTTCTAAACTTAATATTTTTACATATTTAATGAACTTTTGATACAAATATACTGTTTGAGCAAAAATTATTGGGTTCGGTCGAACCTACATTAAGGCTACTAGCTCCGCCACTAGCCACAGTTCAAGCGGTATAATGTAGATAACTTACCATAATGCAAGTATTAGTGGCTGCTTCTACGACACCCATGATATATGAGTCACACAAAGACAACTTTACCATTACATCTTTATCTTTATTGTTTTGGGGAAAAAACAATGGGGTGCAAGTGCAATTATGAATATTTTTGGGGATCAGAAGTGGCGAGATCCAAGATCTGTATTCCACATCTCAAGTCCATGAAGATAAATGAATTTTACTATCCAATATGGAGTCATCAAACTCTTAAAGGTTGAGCACTTGTGTCACGACCCGCAATTTCCACCGTTGGGATCGTGATGGTGCCTAACATTTCACTTGCTAGGCAAACCAACATTAGAGATTATTAAGCCAATTCTTAAACCTTTTAGTGATTAACAACAATTAAACCATAACAAGTTAAAAAGAGTGTGAAAATACATAACAGCCTCGTTACATATCACTACCCAGAATCTAAAGTCACAATTCACAAACTTCTAAGATTTAACTACAAGTAAAGGTCTGAAAGAAATACAACTGTCTTAGAAACAAAAGAAACAGTAAAGAGAATGTATAGAAGGGGACACCAAGGCCAGAGGACGCCAACATGACTACCTTGGGTCTCATATCAGATGAAACCAACAGCTAAACTCGGGATCAACTCGATCTAGTACCAAAATCTGCACAAAAAGTGCAGAGTGCAGTATCAATACAACCGACCACATGTACTGACTGGTAAGTGTCGAGCCTAACCTCGGTGAAGTACTGACGAGACTAAGACAAGATACCCACAAACAACCTATGCAGTATATTAATACATATACCAATAGCAGTAATAAAAGAAATAAGACAGGTAATATTGGGAGGGGGACATGCTGAGGGGATCACAAGATAAGGAATCAAAGTAGTGATAAAGACTTGATCAACCAATATGTCTTAAACAGATAGAAACAAGTAAAAGTAGTAAAGGAAACTACACGACATCACCTTCGTGTTTTTACTCTCAACCTCACCATATGAAGCAATAGAAACAGTACGACATCAAACTTCGTGCATTAACTCTCTCATAACATGGCACGTCATCACCCTTCGTGCATTAACGCTCACAATATGGAACAGAATCACCCTCCGTACATTAACACTCACAAAACATAGCATGACATCACCCTTCGTGCATTAACACTCTTCCTCACCAAGACAATGAACAATAACAATAGGGAGATAGAAATAACAAGAACAAACCTTACTTCAACATTTGGCTCCGTAATACCAATCTCAACTTTGAGTCAATACTCAATCAATACCAAAGTCCGTAATCATGATAAGAACGATCGACATAATGATTAACAAGTCTAAACATGGATAATATGATCACAGAAGGTAACAATTGCAACAATAAGACCCACTCGCATGCTATAACTCGACAACAACGTATAGGTAATCGTCACCTCACCTATACATTGTACCAAACATTTGAACACATAGCAAATAGGCAAATAAGACCTAATCCTCAAGTCAAGGTTAACCACGACATTTACCTCGCTCCAACGACCAAACTCAAAGCTCAACCATAGCTTTTCCTTTCAAACAAGCCTCCAGACCAATAGAATCTAGCAAATTACCAACCAAACGATTCAATTTAAGCCTTAGGAACTACCCACGATTGCAAAGAATTCAATTTAGGCCATTTTTGAAAGAGTCAACAAAAGTCAACACCCGGACCCCTTGGTCCAAACCCGAAATTCGGACCAAATCCCTATTACTCATTCACCCCCGAGCCTGGATATATAACTAGTTTTGGAATCCGACCTCAATTTGAGGTCTAAATCTCCAATTTTTGAAATCCCTAGTTTCTACCCAAAAATCCCCAATTCCACCTAGATTTTAAGTTGAAATCTTGTAAAATGAAGTGAAAGATTGAAAGAAACTAGTTTAGAATTACTTACCAATGGTTTGGGGAAGAAAAGTTCTTTGGAAAATAGCCTCTTGTATTTTAGGTTTTGAAAATTTGAAGAATGGGAGAAAAATCCCGTCTAAGTCACTTTTACACAACTGCAGATCGCAAATGCAAGAAAAGTATCGCAAATGCGAACCTGTCGCATTTCTGTTGCCTTCGCAAATGCGAACATTTTGTTCGCAAATGCGACCTCCTTCTTCACAAATGTGAAGATCCCTTCCCCCAGACTAACTTCGCAAATGCGGGGTTTTCTTCGCAAATGCTAAACCTGCTGGTCTGATGCACACCAGCTTTGATTTCTAAGTTCATTTCACTCTGTAGCCTATCCGAAACTCACCCGAGCCCTCGGGACTCCAAACCAAACATACAAACAAGTCTTAAAATATCACACGAACTTTCTCGCACGATCAAATCGCCAAAATACACCTAGAAATACGAATTTAACACCAAATCGAATGAAATTCTTTTTTAAAAAAACTTTGAAACTTCTAATTTCTCAACCGGACGTCCGAATCACATCAAACCAATTCTATTTCTCACCAAATTTCATAGACAAGTCATAAATATTATGCTGGACATATTTCGAGCTCTGGAACTAAAATACAGACCCGGTATTAACGAGACCAAACATCAATCAATTCTTCAAAACAATTAGATTTTCAGACATTTAATTTTCGATAAAAATTCAGAACTCAAGCTAGGGACCTCCGAATCCGATTCCGGGCATACGCCCAGGTCGCATATTTCAATACGGACTCACCGGAACCATTAAAACACGGGTTCGGGTCCTTTTTCTCAAAACGTTGACCAAAGTCAACTAAAATTAACTTTTAAGGCAAAAAGTCTTGTTTTTATCAGTTTTTAGTATATAAGCATTCCAGGTCAATACCCGGACTGCACACACAAATTGAGGAAGGCTAGAATGAGGCTCTAATGTTCGTCCTCGAACGAACATAAAAAAGTACCTGAGCTGGTGAAAAGGTGGGGATATCCACTCCACATATCAGACTCAAACTCCCAGGTAGCTGTATCAACAAGCTGGCCTCTCCACTGCACTCGAACTGAAAGATAACTCTTTGATCTCAACTAACGAACATACTGGTCTAGAATAGCTACCGGCTCTTCCTTGTAGGTCAAATCCTTGTCCAACTGGACA